CCTCCCCCCCTCAACACCCCACTCCCCCCCAGACGTGTGATGTTGGCAAAGAGAGGTGAGATCTTCGGCTCCTGGGACACGGAGTGGGTCTACACCTACCAGGAGCTCAAGGGGGCGCCCAAGGCCACGCCCAAGGGCATCGAAATCATCCTCAAGGTCAGTCTGCGAGAAATTTGTAACGATTTTAAGCGATAGAGAGGTGAGCAGAGTAAGCCTGGTTCCCCGTTTGGACTTCTCTGTTGACATCCACCCCTTTGCGATCATGTGCCCTGATGCAGTTGCAAGCGCCGTAAAACCTTATTATAACTAAAAGACAAGCAAGCGGGTGGTTGGCGGGTGCTGCAGTGTTTATTTGCTCCTTCTTTCCTATCGGACATTTTATCGTCCTTATCTCTCCTCCTCCTTATTTAGTGTATGTTACTCTCTTGTAGTGGGTGGTTGGCGGGTGCACTTGTATAGTTTGCTCCTTCTTTCCCAAACCTGTATCGTCCTTATCTGTCTTCCTTTTTAAAAAAAAATCTGTTTGTTACTTTCTTGTAACACCTCTAAACATAGACACCAGCACTTCTATAATCATCTAATTGCGTTGCACGTTGTGTGAATGCTTACTAATACAAAACAAAACAAAAAGCACCTATATAACCTAATTGTGTCGCAAGTGCCGTAAATGCTTACAAAATTAAGGTTACCACAGCACTCGTATCAGGATTCTTTTTAAAAGATGTTGAACGCGCAGCCAGCCTCTTAATTTTCTCTATTGAAAGATGTTGAATAATATGCAACAAGCCTCTTAATTGTCCTTTTTGAAAGATGTTGAAGATACAACCAGCCTCTTAATTGTCCTTTTTGAAAGATGTTGAACGCGCTGCCAGCCTCTTAATTGTGGTGGGTGGTTGGTGGGTGCTGTGATGTGGTTTGCTCGTCCTTTCCTACCAAACATCTGTCGTCCTCATCTCTCCTCCTTGTTTTTGTGTGTTTGTTATTCTCTTGTAACACCATATCTAATCTTCCGCACTTAAGTTATATGACCTTATTGTGTTGCAAGTGCCGTAAAACTCTTACTAAACCTAAAATCTTAATTGTGCTGTGGTTTTGTTTTGTTTTTTCAGGAGAAGGAGAAGAAGAAACTGTTTGGGAGTAATGCTGTGAAGAAGGACTCTCACTTGGCAGACCCAAAGCAGGCACAGGTGTGTGTGGGTGTGGGGGGCTATGTGTGGGTGTGTGTGTGGGGGGGTGAGTTATGTGTGTGTGGGTATGTGTGGAGGGGGGAGGCGGGTATGTG